CTCTCTCTCTCTCTCTCTCTCTCTCTCTTTCTCTCTCTCTCTCTCTCTCTCTCTCTCTCTCCCCCCTCTCTCTCTCAATGTGGCTGGTCCAACATAATATTTCCTCTCCCTCTGTTGTTTTTGTCTGTCTGCCTCACTTTTCTGTGCACAAAATGGTCCGCGTGAATGTCGCTCGGATTGTGAACGCAGTGATATTCTCTTTTTTTGGGGTTCTTTTTTGCTTATCTGTGTTATAACTCCTCCCCCCCTGTCCTCCCCCTTCCCCTTTTTTCTTTCTTTTTCTTTCTTTTACCATTTTGTAACTTCCTTCTTCGCTTGTTCTTGCTTGCTTTCCGGATTGACTCTTTCTTTTCTTTTTCCTTCTGTCTTTCCCTCGTGCTTTGTTCCTTCCTGATTCACCTTTTCTTCCCTTTGCTCCCCTCTCCTTTTTTTAACTTCCCGATTCCTCTTTCAAACCGATTTCATTTCCTCCCTCCCCTCTCACTTCTATCCCCGCTTCATCCTTATTTCCAAAATGTTCTCCTCACTTAACTCTCACTCTCAGCTCTTTGCCATGCTTTTTGGCTGAGAAGCTGCCTACCTGTATTTGATCCCCACTAAAGTGCAAAGTATCTGGCATTTGTACTGCGCACTCCATCCTTCGTCCGTATTCTATGGCGTCTATTCTAAATCGCTGTCCCTAAATAGTAAAATGCTCAATCGCAGCGACCTCGGTTGTGTGTAGTGTTGCGGGGATCTTTCTGTGAGTACGCGATGCGTAAGTTTGGAGCGTTCCGCCAGCATCTTGCGTAACGTATTGTTATTATTGTGGTAGGCGTTACGTGAATCTTGGCGTGACGGTGCGAGCGTCACAGCTGTGTCACGCTTGAGTCTGGTTGGTCCGGACTATTGATACAGCTGCCAGACGCGTGTGGTCGTCAAATATTATCTCTTAGTGGTAAGAGAATCACTTGTATTTTGATATCAATGTCAAACCTTTAATTGAATAGTGTAATGTCATTAGTGGGATCATCTGTGTAATTCTCTTCACGTGTTAGTGTGCTCTTGTTTTTTGCATATTATTATTACAAACACGTTAAGATAATTACAGAGATGATTTCACAACTGACATTGCACTACATGTATATATGCGTGTGTGTGAGGCAGCGTGGTGGAATCAGGCTCTCGTCAAAATAATCAAAGAGAATATTCTGATGAATCTACGATTTATATACATGTAGTGCAATGTCAGTTGTGAAATCATCTCTGTAATTATCTTAACGTGTTTGTAATAATAATACATTATATTGTTGGTTGTTGTTGTTTTTTTCAGTAGAAGCTTCAACAATAACACAGATTTTATCTTGTGAGTTTCTGTGTAGGCCTAGATCTATATATAGCAGCGCGGGTGTGATTTGCTCCTTCTTTCCTATCAAACATCTATCATTCCTCCTTCTTTTTGTATTTGTTACTCTTTTGTAACACCTATAATCTCTGGCACTTATCTGACCTGATTGTGGCTTTGGTGAAGTAAAACTCTTACTAAAACTATATTTATACAAATATATATTTATATATATATACATACATACATAT